GCACAGAAAACCACTTTATCAACACAGGGAAGCATAAAAAATGCTGAGACAAAGAAACAGGACACAAATGACAGGAGGAAAGCAAACTACTGGATATAGAGTTCAAAACCACACTTTTAAGGTTTTTCAAGAACTTTCTAGAAACCGCCAATAAATGTAGTGAGATCCTCAAGAAATCTAGTGAGACCCTTGATGTTGTGATAAAGGACCAACTAGAAATTAAGCATACACTGACTGAAATAAAGAATATTATACAGACTCCCAACAGCAGACCAGAGGAGCGCAAGAATCAAGTCAAAGATTTGAAATGCGAAGAAGCAAAAAACACCCAACCGGAAAAGCAAAATGAAAAAAGAATCCAAAAATACGAAGATAGTGTAAGGAGCCTCTGGGACAGCTTCAAGTGTACCAACATCCGAATTATAGGGGTGCCAGAAGAAGAGAGAGAGCAAGATATTGAAAACCTATTTGAAGAAATAATGACAGAAAACTTCCCCTACATGGTGAAAGAAATAGACTTACAGGTCCAGGAAGCGCAGAGAACCCCAAACAAAAGGAATCCAAAGAGGACCACACCAAGACACATCATCATTAAAATGCCAAGAGCAAAAGACAAAGAGAGAATCTTAAAAGCAGCAAGAGAAAGAAACTCAGTTACCTACAAGGGAATACCCATATGACTGTCAGCTGATTTCTCAACAGAAACTTTGCAGGCCAGAAGGGAGTGGCAAGAAATATTCAAAGTGATGAATAGCAAGAACCTACAACCAAGATTACTTTATCCAGCAAAGCTATCATTCAGAATTGAAGGTCAGATAAAGAGCTTCACAGATAAGGAAAAGCTAAAGGAGTTCATCACCACCAAACCAGGATTATATGAAATGCTGAAAGGTATCCTTTAAGAAGAGGAAGAGGAAGAAAAAGGTAAAGATACAAATTATGAACAACAAATACACATCTATCAACAAGTGAATCTAAAAATCAAGTGAATAAATAATCTGGTGAACAGAACAAACTGGTAGTTATAATAGAATCAAGGACCTAGAAAGGGAATGGACTGACTATTCTTGGTGGGGAAAGGAGTGTGGGGGATGTGGGAAGAGACTGGACAAAAATCGTGCACGTATGGAAGAGGACTGTGTGTGGGGAGTGAGGGCGGAGGGTGGGGTGGGAACTGGGAGGAGGGGAGTTATGGGGGGAAAAAAGAGGAACAAATGTAATAATCTGAACAATAAAGATTTAATTAAAAAAAAGAGTATGGATCTAAAATGACCTGGGATCTATCACTCAACATTATTTTAGTCTGGCCAGTGGTTGAGCATCGACCTGTGAACCAGGAGGTCACGGTTTGATTCCCGGTCAGGGCACAGGCCCAGGTTGCAGGCTCAATCCCCAGTGGGGGATGTGCAGGAGGCAGCCGATCAATGATTCTGTCTTATCATGGATGTTTCTATTTCTCGCTCCCTCTCCCTTCCCCTCTGAGATCAATAAAAGTATATTAAAATTACTTTGAATGAGTTGTCAGCCACGGCTAAGAGTCCTTCTTTAATTCCATTCAAAGCAAGGACAGGGAGGCCACCGTCATAGAGTTCCACAAACGTCACTGATGCTGCTCGTTGGCACGAGAGCTGTACCTGTGAAGTGCATGCTTGCAGGTCTGACATGACGTGTGCGCCTCCATCATGTAACACGGAACAGGATGTGTGTGACCGGGCAGGGGCCCATGGGAACCAGTGTCTCCAGAGGCTATGTAGACGGCACAGCCCATGGGGACATCAGGACCCAGAAGTGATACCTGAGGCGCCTCCATCCCCAGGCACCTGGGGACCAGTTAGAGCCTGAGCGCTGGAGGGGCCCTGGGATCCAAGGGTCGCAAGTGACCAGTGCCTCCTGCTGAGGACGGGAGTACAGAGATCTGAGGGCCTCAGGGACATTATCCCTGTCCGCACCCGCCCCCTCCTGTTCCCTGACTCCAGTTCCCAAGGTGAAGGGTTAGAAAGTCACAATAAGCCTCGTTTAGATGTGACCATTAAACGGTCAATTAAGTGACTGAAAAGTAACCAGCTGGTGGTGACGGAGAGAAATCCCAATAAAACCAGAGCCAAATTCCGACGCCCATCAGCCCGGAGGGTAAACCAACACTCCTCCTGGCAGAGCCGGTGAGATCGCCTGATATTGGCCTTTGGGATGAGGCGGTCTGTTCTGTTCGACTGTCAGTCACATTTTTCCATTTTGGTGCATAATTGTAATGGCTGACGCTGGCTGCCAGGGACGGCGCCGCCCATTTGTCCTGGATGAACCCACTTGTCCTAACGTACATCTGTGCTGTCCCCTTATTTCCAGATGAGGACACTGAGGCAGAGGGGTCAGCGCCTGCTGGGGACCCCACCAGCGGGAAGCTCCAGAGCTGAGCTTGAACCCGGGAGTCTGGCCCTGAAGATGGGCTCTTGCTCTCAACCCACTGAGGGGACCGTCCCACATTTGAAAGAGAGACCCAAACGGCCTCCAGGGTCTCAACAATGTGTGAAGCTGCCGGTTAGGCTCTGATCTGGGGGGATGAACCTGCAGAATGATACCCGAAGAGTGGACTTTAAATGCTCCAATGGTCCCTCAGGGCAAGGTGTGTGCGTGGTGTTCTTAGATCCCTCGTCCCATCTCTGAGGAAATGTTGGTGATTTCATGCTTAGTGTTTGCCTGCTTCAAGTGTGTGGACGTCAGTGTGTTTTTGTTGCTGCTACAGTTCCTGTCGCCAAGGGGCACTGTTTCTGTTAGGTCCACGGTGACAGGTTTGCAGGAAGGATTGCTGTCCCTGGGCTGATCCTGAATTCAGCTACAGCATCAACTTTCATCTGTTCTCACTGCGTTTCTCACTAGAGTATCTTAGATTTCTCTGATGGTTGATTATTTATCTATATACTAGTGGTCTTTTGCATGAAATTTGTGCACATTAAAAGGGAATTAATTAAAGGGAATATTTTAATATTGCTATTTGCCCTTTCTCTATAATAGAAGTTTCAGAGGTGAAAGAAAATTAGTAAAATGTATATGAAAATCTCCCTCCTGTCAGAGTCTGGGGCAGGCTGCGGGACCCAGAGTCTAGTCCCCACTCACCCACGCCTGCCTCAAAATTTCAAGAGACCCAGACCCGGCCAGCCCCACCCTCATCAAGTTCTGCAGGGCGCGTGGCTCAGCCTCAAGTCCCCAGCCTGGCGCTGGTTGCGGGGTGCAGCTTCAGGTCTTCTGTCAACCCCTGCTGGAGGACGGGGCACAGCCTCAGGGCCGCCATCAAGCCCTGCTGGGCGGGGCATAGGTTCAGGTCCCTTGTCAAGCACTGCCAGGTGCGGGGAGCCACCTAAGGTCCCCCGTGAAGTCCCGCTAGGAGGGGGAAGTGTGGCCTCAATACCCCGGCCTCGCCTCAAGTTCCTTGGCCCCAGCACGAAGGCGCGAGGGTGTGAGCGCATGACACCCATTTGCATATTACCTCTTTATTATATAGGATTATGACCAACTTATTGATTACTTTTTATATGCTTCCCCACCAAGTTTGAAGAGAATGTTTTCAATAAGTTGAGAGCCTCTGTGTTTACTAGTCTTTATTTCACAGCAGCTTTCAGTTCACAGAAAACATGAGCAGAAAATAGCGAGAGCCTGGCCAGGGCCTCTCAGTGGTTGAGCGTCACTCTGTGCGCTGATGGGTTGCCGGATCAATTCCTGGTCAGGTCCCATTCCAGCTGTTGCCTGAATGCCTGTCCAGCCCGTACAGAGGCGCCCGCTGGGTGCTTCTCATGGCCCTGGTGGGATTAAAACACAAAGAGAAAGCAGAGAGAGGTCCCACCTCGCCCTTCCTTCTGGACACATGGAGCCTCCCAGGGTCAACACCAGGCCCAGTGCTGCCAGGACCCCGGGGTCTCAGGTGCTGGGCCGGGTGGGATGAGAGGGCGTGTCGGTGACAGGGAACTGCCCAGCTGTCCTGCCGAGTGGCCGGAGCTCCTGTGCATCCCCTCCCTCGGCAAGGACGCGTTACTACCGCCCCGCACCCCCGCCAGCACGTGGTGTCAGTCAGTGAGCTTCTCTAAACAGAGAAGGAGGAGAAAGCACTGAGCAGGTGGAGGAACGAGGTTGGCATCACTGAGAGGACGGGATTGAGTCAGAAACCCGGATGCAAGCAGCTGAGCCTGAGTGTCAGTGCCATGCACCTCCCTTCCGTCTGACAGGTCCCCCTGCCCGACACCTGTCAGAATCCTGTCTGTGCTGCGTGGTCTCAAGCCCGCTGCCCTGTCACCTGCTTCCCACAGCCTGTCTCCGAGTCGGGCGGCCTCCCTGTGCCCATGGAGCAGCGGCCCACGGTCGGCACAGGTGGGGGACCAGCCCTGTGGGCGCTTCTCCTGTGGAGCCCGATGAGCACAGGGGCCCCCTCGGAACCGACAAGTGAAAGCGTCCCCAGGACACGTGGGCGTTGATGGATCTGAAGTTGTGGGCATGGCTTTCCACAGGCGCTCGAGCAGGAAGGGGGCAGTGGGAGGGTGGGCCTCCTCTTGGCACTGTTTTCTCTGTGGAGGCGGACACCACGGACTGACTCCCTCCACTGCCCTAAGCAGCCCTGGCCCAGCGGGCACCATTTTACCCTGAGGGTGCGGCCCAGCCACACTGAGAGCTCATTCACTCGGGGTCACGCATCTCCCGCAGGGTCACGTGCTGGCCCCCTTCTTGTGCCAGGCCCTGGGCTGAGGGAAGAGCAAAGCGGACCCTGTCTGCACTCAAGGAGCTGAATCCCAGGCGCTCCCCTCCATCCACAGGGTGCACACTTGTGACCCTCCTGCCTCGGGCGGGGCCGAGGGAGCCGTGCCCGGTGCCAGCAACTCCCGCTCTGACCAAGTCCCCGGGCTGTGACGCTGATGGATGGCATCAGCCGTCCGTGAGGAAGGGTGGCTGGAAGCCAGGCCTTGTGACCTGCCCGTCCCCTGTGGCAGGACCAGTGAGGCTCCCTGGGTACAAATAGCCCTGGGCTCCCAGGCTGCTCAGTCCAGCTCCTCAGCGCTCACGGTTTGCTCAGCTGATCGCTCAGCCAGGAACCATGAAGCTGGCCCTGTCTCTGCTGCTGGTCACGCTGGCGCTTTGCTGCTCTGACGGTGAGTGTCACGTCCACTCAGACACCATCAGCCGGGAAGGGCCCTTCTCCGGTCCAGGTGACTTACATGGGGAGGGGGGACGGTCAGAATCTAACCTTTCCCGCGCCCTGTGGACCAGCCCCCAAAGCCCAGCACTCGGGGTGTCCGATCCCGGGGCTCTGGAACTTCCACAGAAACCCCTTCAGGCCAGTGTGGGCGGTCCCGTGGGAGGCCCCACTGCCGCCTGGTCTGTGACACAGAAGCAGCTGGACGGAGTCACCTTCACGTGAGCCAGGGTCCTGCCCCTGCAGCGCTGTGGCCTGGAGCACAGGCTGCATCTCCCCAGGCCTCTCCTCCCCGCATCCCAGCGCCCAGGAGAGAAGCTGGGGCGATGGCGGAGAGGAGGTGGTCCGAGGCCGCCCTGGTCTCACCGTCGTCTCCTCCAGGGTCTCTTAGGTGCCAGGTGAGCCCAAGGCTGTTGGACTCCTAGGTTCAGACTCAGAGAATGTTCCAGCAGGAGAGGGCTCCGTTCAAGAGGAGCAGTGCCGCCTGAGGCTCAGAGTGGCCAGTGTCCACGTGGCTCTGAGACCCAGAGGCGCTCAGGCGCCCCACAGGCCCCCCCCTCCTCCAGGGGCCCAGCCAGGACGTGCAGAGCCAGTGGGAGCACTGGGGCCGCCACTGCCCTTTTCCCGGAGAAGGTGGCCAGTGGACTGCAATGCTGGGCGGGTTCTCACACGCTCGGGGCTGAGCCAAGTCCTTTGGAGTCTCTTCCATCTGACTTTCTGAACCCCGTCCTCTCTCCCCAGGTGACTTCTGACCTGACCCTCCACCTCCCTGCAGAGCAGCTGTCTCCCAGGTGGGAGGGGCCTGGTGGGCACAGTCCCAGCTGCAGGTGCTGGCAGAGGCCTGAGGGTGGGATGGAGAATCCAGACCCGGAAGTGGTTCCTGCAGGTCTCAGCACAACCCACTGGGTGGAAAGTCATTCCTGTGCCCCCTCCAGGGGATTCTGTCCTCAGGGCGGAACCAAAGAGCTAGTCGTGGTCTAAGCCTCAGTGTCAGGTGTGACACTCACAGACTTCCTCGGTGAAGCCTGAGCCTTCTCCCTCCCATGACATGATCCCAGTTTTAGACTGAGCCTCCAAGGGCATCCTCCATCCCTTAGGAGCGTTCCTCCCTCCTCTCCGCATTTACTGTCCCCCTCTGGGCCCTCTGCCAGGACCTGACCCTACCCTTCCCTGGAAAGACTGAGGGCTAACGGCTCCCTCCCCCAGTAGCCAGACAAAGGCAGGTGAGGCTCTATTGAGGGGCAAAGCTGAGTCTTTGAAATCCAGGGACAGTGACTGGGGCAAAGCAGGGGACTCTTGGGAAGGCCTGGGTGTACTTGCTAAAGGGGAAGACTGACCAGGGGTGGTCACCTGTGCTCCATCCGGGCTCCGCTGCGTGCTCTGTGACCCGGCGCCAGTGAGGATTTGGGGAGATGCATTGTCCTGGGCACAAGTATGGGAGGAGACCATAAGTCCCTGGGGTTCCTGTCTAGATCTGAGCTCAGGGAGCCGTGGGGAAAAGTGACTTTCCTATATCCAATGTGTTTCTTTTTCTTCTCCTCCAGCAAATGCCAAAACCTGTCCAGCCCTTCAAAACGAAGCGAGAGCCTTCCTGTTGGACATTAAACCGCTCTTTCATTCCATCCTCAAGACTTTTCCGGCACCTGAACCTGCCTACCATTCCACGATGGCTGTGAAGTATTGCGTAGATCGGATGTCCTTTAGCAACAGACACAAAATTTACGACGTTGTGGTAACTCCATTCTCCTTCTGCATAGAGGCTGCTGCTCAGCTGCATGGCCAGGCGGGAGGAGGGCGCTGCTCTGGGGGGCACAGGTGGGGGCACCGGCCCCTCTGCTCACCTCTGAGAGAGGGGGCCGTGGCCAAGGGTGGATGGTGACCCGACACCCGCTGGGCCAGCCTCAGGCTGCACAGCCTCTGCAGGCCCCTCCCTGGGGTCCGGGTTCCCCACGTGTCCTGAGGGGGGACAGCCAGGGCCCAGGCGGTGATGGTGAAGGGCCAGACACTGCTGCCTCCCTGCCTGGGAGCATTCTGGAGGGCGAGGTCCCTCACTGGGGGCAGGAGACCCTGTCCCTGGGGAACGCCATGGGGTGGGGGTGCAGGGGGAGGCAGGGGAGGCAGGGAGCTGGCCCCGCCCCGTGAGGAGGGAGGCAGGCGGGGCTCTGGCAGCTTTTGCACAGCCAGGACCAGTCCCTGTCCCCTCCCCCTCTCCCTCCTCAGCCATCAGGCCAGAGGGCAGGGCCCCTCCCAGTCTGTCCTCTGCAGCCACAGGGGGAGCTGACCGCCTCCCTGTCTCTCTGAGGAAATCAGACACTGGGGGGGAGGGGGTCTGTCTCAGCTCCTCCACCCCTGAACCAGGTCGGGCTTTCAGCAGGAGTCCCCACGCGCAGGGCCTCAGTGTGGACATGTCAGTGCACCACCAGGTTGCATGTCCCCGCCGGGGCTGCAGATCTTTGCAGGCAGATCCTCCCGTGGTCCCCCCACCTGCCCAGCCCGCCACCCCCACCTCGTCCACTCTGGAGTGAACAGTCCCGTCCTGGGACCTGGGACTCAGAGAAAGCAAATTCCGGGCTCTCGTTCCCCCGTCCCCCTCCTGCTCCATCAGAAACCCGAGGCCACTCCTCGGATCCTAGGCGTTTGCGTCCGGCCGTGGCCATGGCTCTTCCCTGACGTGTCAGCTGCTGGTCCTGCACCGGGACCATTGAATCCACACCTGCACCCTGTCTGCCCGCCGCCCAGCTGGCATTTGCTGGTTGCAATGCCTTCTGCGTCTTGGTTGTGAGCACACGTTGTGCCTGGGGCATCTCCAGGGCAGCGGGACTGACAGCCCTTTCTCTCTCTCTGTGTCTATTTCAGGAGGCTATAGTGGACAAGTGCAACGAATAGATTCCACAAACCCCACCTACGAGGGCCCCTGCTTTCACGGATGCCCTGACCTTCCCTGGAAAATGTAGAGGTTTCAACGTCTTGCTTCAATAAATCACTTGCCCTGCACGTCCCGCTTGTCTTGTTTTATCCCAGTCTCTGGCCGGGGTGGGGGGGCATCATGAGGGGCCTTGGGTGGTGACAACAGAGCGTCACGCTGACCCGATGGGCAGTGACCTGGCGCCTGAGGGCGCGGATCACAGGGGAACGTTGGCTCAGGGCCCGGCCCGCGTCTCTGCACAGGCCTCCCAGGCCCAGGCCCTGCATGAGCCACGCAGGCTCCCACACCTCCATCCCCGAGGGGCCCGCTCAGCCAGCCGCACAGCTGAGAGCTCAGACTCCTTTCCAGCGGCTGCTGCCAGGCCCGCCGCGCACTGGGTCAGGGCAGTCTGTCCCAGGGGCCAGGACAGGAGGCTGCGGTCCGTCACCCTCTGCCCAGACCCCAGGGTGCGGAGGCCCGCTGGCTGTGCAAGTCCAGGGGGAAGCTCTTCCTGGCGGCTTCCCGCGGGGAGGCGGATGCAGTCCCTGTCTGGCTGCATGGGCTCCAGGGCCCCCTGAGCTGCCATTGCGCCTCCTTCCTGTGGAACCTCTGCCTCCTCCTCCCCCACATGTGGCTGTGGCAGAGAGCAGGCCCAGGGAATCCAGGGTGTCGCCCACACTCAGAATCCGTACCTTTATGGCAGCTGCCAAGTCCCCATAGAGAAGAAAGGGAAGTCCAGGGCTTAGGGCATGGAACGTTTGGGGCTTATGGCCCCACTGCAGCTCATCTGACTCCTGACACCTGTGAGCCACCCCGTTTACCTGCTCGGCCCCCCCTCCCTCGCACAGCCTGTCCTTTCCATCTGCACAGCCATGTCATCGTCCTGCCCTCGTCCCTCCAGGCTTGTGCCCAAGGCTCCTACCCGGTCCCCTGGGGTCGGAGCTGCCCTCCCTGCAATGCCCCTGAGCATCCATCCCACAGTGACCTCCCACAGGAGAGGGGGGCCCGCCTTCTGCACCTGAGAGCCTAGGCCATGGTCCCCCATGTTTCCAGGAAGAGGACGTCTCCTTAGTCCTCAGCGTCTCCCATGACAAAGGGCACATCATGCCCACATGACTGAGAGCAGAGCCGATGGTGCCATGTTATCAGTGATGCCCCTGCGGCCACAGTGAGTGTGTGTGTGTCTCATCGGGAAACACGCACACTCAGTTGCCTCTTTTCTGAAGCACAGGTGTGCTCAGTCTACAGCCTGTGCTCGGTGGACGCAGGATTCTAGAGCTCTTGCCACAGCCTGAGAGACACAGGCTGGGGTCCTGCCGGGAGGGCCAAGCCCCCCGCTGGTGCTGCTCACAGGGCCTTGCACTGAAGCATCCATCTTATATAAAAACTGCTGTTTGAAATTTTAACCCTGCTATTTTGGCTTCTTTAAATGCTTGCTTGCTTAAATAATAAGGAAAGTAAGACTACTCCCATCCAGACAGGCCGTTAACTATGCCCCAGACAGAGTTGTCAGTGCTGACACCAGGCCAGGCCTTGAGATATGGTGTCATGGCCCCTTCCCAGCATATGGGCCTTCTTTCTTTGAAGGCCCGGAAGTCTCATTGCAAATTTGGGAGACAAAGGACTAGAAAAAGTATAAGTAAAGAGAGTTTCCTCCATGTTGGGAAGCCTAGAATTTGAAAGACATTTTTTTTTTTTTTCCGGGCCTGCACAGAATTGAATAATAAAACGTAACTCCCTTTCTCAAAGCGTGGCTTGTTTTTTCTCAGGTCTTCTGGAACATTAATGGTTCCCTGACCGAGAAGAAGGCCAAACATGCTGGCCCTTTGGCCTCCAGTGAGTGGACCGGGTTTGGGGTCCAGGAGAGCCAGACAGACCTCCGGGAGCCGCCACTCTGCTGATTTAGCAGAATTGAACTGGGTACTCTGGGCACTCCCGGACCTCAGCCCAGGACCCGGCCGGCATCTGGAGAGAGTGGACAGACACGTCTGGACCTGTCAACAGAAACTGTAAGGTAGGGGCCCCTATCAATCACGCCCACTCCCAGTGAGTGGAAGGGGGGCTTGATCACCTCCCTGGAGGTCATGCGACTTCCTCAGGCAAATTAATCAGGAATCAGGTGGACTGTTTAAACTCTGAGTAAACATCTGGTAGAAGTAAAAACTCAGAGTATCTGGTGTATGAATGTAAGTGTGAGAGTCTGTGTGAAGAGAAAGCTACTTTGTGCCGTCTGGCTGTACACGTGAGAGTATTTGTTTTATCTTTCTGCTGTTCAATTTGTTTAAAGATAGGGCAAACCCTGCTTTAGGGGGAAGACAGTAGAGAACTTTAATTGATTTTCCCTGATGTGCAATTTGGCTGTGTTAGGTTAAGATTTCAGAAGTCTAAGGTTAATTAAAGGTATAAAAGTTGTGAAGGTTGCAACCCAGAGAAGTTTAAACAAAGGCTTATTGGGTTAAGATTAGTACATTTTCTCATGGCCTGTGTAGGGTGAGGGAGAGGGACTGCCGGATTTTTATCATGTGGTCCCGAGACCTGTGATCTGCCTGCCCTTCCTGATAGGTGCACAGTGGGTCTCTGTTGGGGACAGCATCCGCTCTGATTGGGGAGGTAGAGAGCTGAAAACTGCGCAGGAGTGGGTGTGAGATGGGGTGGAGGTGGGATTCGCTGGATAGGGTGATAGGCTCTCAGCCTGCTGAGATGGAGGAGCCCGAGGCTGGGGGGTAGGGGGGTGGTCAGAGAGATCACAAGTGGTCAAGGAGGAGAAGGATTTGAGCCTCTGGGGCTTAGAGTAAAGAAGGCAAAGTCTAGGAGGGAGAGGAGCTCAGAGTAAATAGTTAATGCAGAAAAGTGGGGGGTGTCGGCAGGGAGAGCAGGGAGAGATAGGTTTTTGTTGATTTTTACTTGTCTGAACTATGCTGGACTCAAGGCTGTAAGCTGCTACTAAGCACAAGTTTTTCTCTGCCACATTTTGTTCTCTTTAACCCTTCCAATACTAAATCAGACCAATGCAATATACTTGAACTTACATAGGAAAAATATAGCAGTTTTTACTAGACAAATTTTAATTTACCTGCTCTTAGTAATCTAAGAAATACTGGCTGTTTACTTTTTAGTAATCATTAAAGGATTGATGTTTCTAAGAATATGGAATTACTGAGTAGAAGGTCTGAGGCATGGTTATGCATATTTAAAGGACATAGAAAGAAGGTTTAGAGGCTAATTTAGACGTGTAAAATGTATAAAGGTTGGGTATGTAAAGAAGGAGAAAAGAAATGTTAAGAGGAAATTAATCAAAATTACAGGCCAACAAGGCAGGAAGAGTAAATAATTGACATTCTGCCTCCCTAAACAGAGGGTAACTAGTTATGCCAAAGTACTTAGGGGGGACTGATAAAAGATATCCAACAGTTACTGTTTTGTTACAACTCTAGGGAGTCCATAAAAAGAACTGGCAAGGAAAGTCAGAAGATCTTAAAGCAGGTCAGTATATTTTTCTCCTTATACAATTCCTCCGAAATTTGGCAATGCTTAATAAATCATGGCAATACATTTCTTTGCATAAATTCAATAAGGCCGGTTTCCAATAGTGGTTTTATTGACCGAAAACTTTGACTGAAGTACCATGTATTAAAGTGCCCTGTCTGAACTCTGAAGACTTGAAGCCAATAAGAGTGCCATGGAGAAAGCCTGGTATCCTGCTTGGTAGCCCTGAAAATAGCTGGTGCTGGAGTATCAGGCCCATGCCCTACCATCACTGGCGGTTGGTCAGAGTAGAAGGGGAGCAATAAGGGCGCCTCTGCGTCCCTGCAGAACCCCCACGCACTCTGGGCCACGAGGAGTAGTAGGGCTGCTGAGAAGGGCCTTAACGCAAGGACAATGGGCCCGGGTAGAGCCACTGCAGGTGAGGAATTCACCTAACTCAGCAGATACTGCAGGCAGGCCTGATGGCGGCTGGATGGCTTGGCTTCCTGGCCCTACGGGGCACATTAACATTCAATCATGAAATTCCTGCGAAGGTAGTCAGTTGCCATTCTTGTTGTGTTTATGTAAACAATCAGGCCAAATTAAATACAATAAATAAATTAGTCTTTTAATAAACAGAGGGATACTTTTAAGGAGGAAAATCTCTATTTCAGTAAAGGTTATTAAAACTGAAATGTTTTCTTTCCCTTCCACCAGACCATTTGTTGCAGTTTGTCTCTGCCAGGTCACAAGCCCACCTCTTTCTGGGCCCAGGCCTCATAGTCCCTCTGACAGACAGCAAGGATCTCTTGGCTCTGAGAGCAACCTCTGACCCACCTCAGCAGGAAGTAATTACAGAAGAAATCCAACATCCATTATCCATGGAAGAATTCAGAGCCAGGATCCTTGAGGGAATACAGGAGGCAGTTAGACAGACATGAGCAGAGCAAGGGCGATGGGCCAACTGGCACTGCCAGATGTAACTACGTCTTTCCACCTCTATGTGTGTAAGGCAAGGGGACTCCCCCGAAGCAAGAGGGAACTAGGCTGTAGATAAAGCCGCTCAGGAGGCTGCCCTAAAACCAATGGGACCTCTACAGATTCTAGTGACTCTTCCAGACCCTGACCTACTCACCTCACCAGCTTACACGGAAACCCAATCTAGAAAAGCTGGAATCCATAACCAATCTTTACTCGAGTTCTTACAGGCTTTACAGTCCACCCAGAAAGCAGTCCGGATGCATGTTCGAGATGCTCTGCCTATACCAACTTCTGATCCGGTTCATCCCTTCCAACCTGCTGACTCTATTTGGGAAAAGACGTTTGCCACCCTAGGACTGACTCCTACCTGGAAAGGATCACCCCCACGACCGTCAAGGTCGACAGGATCCTGATGTGGCTTCATCACACCCGACTTAAGACAGCCCAGGCAAAATAGAGAGCCCAGGACTCTTCGGACCCTCTGATGATTGCTCCTGGCCCTCATTACAGGCCCTTATCTTATAAACAGGCCCACTGACTTTTTTCGAAAATATTTAATTCTATTCAGCTTGTAGTCCTCAGGGGTCAATACAACTCCCTCCCAACAATGACCCAAAAGAGTCAATGATTTGACTCATGTACA